AAGCCAGTGTTATGAAAAAAGCATGAGCAGCTATGAGGGTGTGTCTCACCTCCTTTGCACTCCAAAGAGAGCAGCCCTCCATCCCCACCATGGCAGAACTGTCCTCCCACTGTTCCTGGGTGCTGCAAACCCCACCAGGGAGAGGCTAATTTCCAATGGGGAGACAGCCCCATTTAAGCAAAGAAGAATAAACGGAAAGCTGAGAGAGCAAGCTGGAGGGGAAGGTGAGGAACAGCCAGCTTGCAATTGTGTTCAAAGCTAGGGAGAGAGCTGGATAGACAGGGCAGGATGTATACTCACCGTGTAAAGCAGTATTTGTTTGCTAGCTCTATGATCCTCTTCAAGTACAGACAGGATAGAAACTCTGGCTATGGGCAGTGCACCAGAACCAAGGCCCAGAAGTGTATTTCAGGTCTGTTCCCTCCTGTCTTCTGGACACTTCACTTCTTTGCAGAGTTCTACCCACAACAGCTCTTCTTTGCTTCCCTGGTAGGACAGTTCACCTGAAAAGCAACAGCTCTTTCTTGCCCTTCTCTGGTTCCCTGGTCTGGGGATGAAGCAGAGCCCACACACAGCTCCCCTGCCAGCCAGGCTGCACTTAGGAGCTGAACCAGGAGCTCACAGCAGAGCACTATGGGGACCAGGATCAGGAGATGCTCTTGTCCCTTTCAGGAAGGGAATACAATAGCTCCCACCCCTGCTCCCAGTAGCCTTTCCTAAGGCTGGCTCACTAACCTGCTTCCTTCCATTCTGCTGCTGAAATCTTGGTGGCGAGGTCTGCCTCAGCATGCTGGAATCCAACAGGCCTGAGATGGCAGGAGCAGCTCAAGCTGCGGCCATGGGGCTCTCTGCTCCTGGGTGGCAGCAGAGCTGCAAGCTGAGCTCACGCCCACTTGCAAGGGGAAGCCAAAGGCTTCCATGATGTGGAGAGCTCACGCTGTGAGTGTGTCTGTGTCAGGAGAGGTACCACGCACATCCTTTGGAGCATCCAGGTCTGAGGGTGCTCCCTGGATCCACAACCACCACCACTGTTTCTGAACAAGGCTACAACTCTGCAGCAGCAGGTCACAGCTGGAGGGATTTTCTGTGTAGCTAGCAGCCATCAAAACTAATTCCATGCCAGCACCAGCAGCCAGCCACATGATGAAATGGACTAAGTGCGCACCTTCTCTTCTACTTCCTTCAGCATCAGCCAAGGCAAGGGACTAAAACGTTTCCTTCACCAAACAAATTCATTTTCTCTTACTGCAAGGCTTCAAGCTTCAAATGCAGTGTATCCCACTACTCCTCCTTATCCATGCTTGATATATGTGATAAGCACAATTATTTTACCCATCTGTGATACCTTTGAATGGCTGAGAATTTTCTGCCCTCATTTTGGAGCCCACGTTCCCCCTACACAGGCAGGAAATATAGCTCTGCCTGCACATTCTTCCTCTTAATCTAAAATAAATTCCACATTAAACCACACTTGATCTGTATTTGTGTGAGGGAGGAAGCCACTGCAAGAGAAATTTAGGAGAAGAAGCAGAAGGAAAAGCAGCCTTCATTGCCATTCCCCACATCCCTTCGTGGGTTGCAGCATCTCTCTGAAATACCACACACTTGATCAGAGAGGGATCTAGAGGGTTGCTGCTCCAGGCTTGAGGAGTTTCTGAACATCCAAATCCCTCAAGAGTTACAGGAATTTCCAATATCTTCCAGTGCATGTTTAGATACCCAAAACCTTTCCAGCACCTTTTCAGCTCCCCTGAGCAGCCTCTGTGTAAACGCAGCTACCCACAAAGAAAAATGGTAAGTGTATCCCTGAATCACAGAGGTCAAATTCCTGCATCACAGGGCACGCCTCATGTAAACTGGGGAGAGGGGAAAAGGGCCTTAGCTGCAGACTCCTTTTCTCTGAGCACCTGGGGCTGGACTCCTTGGTTGGATCCAGTAAGCTTTTTGCTTACTGGGAAACTGAACAGTTGTCTTCAGGTTATTGAAATGCACTTTCCATAGCACACACTTTGTTTTTGAAGCACAGCGACTGTCGGCAGTGCTCCACCTTTTAGTCACACCTGCTACACTCCTGCCTTTCAATCTCCTTCCTCTTGGAGCCTCCTCACATTCCCATTGCCTGCAAGAAGCATGCAGTGTGCCTTTGGCACAATCAGGAAAGGAAAGGAGAAATTAAAACAATGGCTACTCCAAAGCAAGTAACAATCCAGTCAATCTCTGGCAATCTTTGCATTAAATGCCTGCTCCTCTACTTTGCTACAAAAGCCACAGCATTCTCATCTTCTTGCTATGTCATTTTTATTGCTGGTAAGATTAGTGCACCTGAAAGCACAGCCCACCTCTGCCACCCAGGGACCTTGAATGCTCTGTGAACTGTCCCAAAGACAGAGTTCTGCCAAACACGCTATGGCCCTGGTCATGGCTGTGCTTTCAGCAGTGACTGACACAAGCCTCCAGCCTTACTCCATCAAGGCTGAGAGCCAGAACCTCTTTTGAACAGGGCCTAATTCCATTACAGGGAGTCAGTTTGCTCACATCCACCACAAACAGCTTGTTTCCAAACCCCCTTATTAACATGGAGATGTCAAAAATATTAATTGCTGTTTTGCAGAACAACAAAAAACAGAACCTGTTTTCCTCATGTTGGAGAGGCAGGGGCTGTACCTTCTGTGGGCAGCCACTGATGTGTGGAGGAACAGGGAGCTCTCTCCCACCCCAGAATTAATGATGAAGAAACCAATGAGAAGAGCAGCTCTAGGAGAGGACATATCCCGCCACTCTTGGGTGCTTTCCACAGAGAGGTCTGAGGCAGGGATGCAGTCAAGAAGAACTCAAGGGTAAGCAGAGTTCACTTAGTAATTTAAGCAATGCAAAGTTTGCACTTTTCAGAATACAGCAAAATAACAGCACATGACCCTGCTGAGTTATTTATTGCAACACCTCTGAGTTAGCAAAAGGTACCTTTGTTATCCCCACAAAATGCCCTTTATAATTTTTCTTCCTTTGAAGTGCCAGATCTGCCAATACTAGAATAAACCCCAAAATCTGTATGTTGGTTCAAGAACTACAGTGTATCCTGCAAAGAGCAGGAAGGACTCACAGACCTGAGTACTCATTTGGATCTTTCTGTGTTTTGGATGTGGAGATAAGCTTGCAGTAAGAAGTGTTACTTAATATAGAAAAAGGGATGTTGTCTCAGTAATAGAAATACACTGCACTGGTTTGTTCAACAAACCACACACAGTGGCTGAACTCACGGTGACTGTCACCCCAACAGGCCACCTCAGACCCAGTTCAGGTGACTCACTACAGCAATTCCTCTTGCTTGGTCATTTCACCCATTCAAATCCATGCTTGAACTAGGTGGGTAAAAAATTGTACACAGACTAGGCAAAAAACTGCAGAGTTGTCCTTATGCATGAGGAAGAAGATGCCAGAATTAATGCATCCTTCACAGGCACACCAGCACCAAGAAGCACTGAGTGTCCAGGCAAGCCCATGCCTTAGGCAAGACTTTCAGACATGGGCCACTTTCCTGGGAGCAAACCTCTCCTTACTGGATACAGCATGAGCCAGCTTCTGTCCCTCTAACAACCACAAAAAGTGACTGCATTGAAAAATTCAAAACAGACTACTCCTATGGAAACCCATCATCTTATTTCCATAGAGATACACTAATATTACACTAAGTCCCAAGCAGAAAGCCTGCCTACTATCTGGAGCTAAAAAAACCCTGTACTTTGTTGCTGGAAACCGCTACCATCTTATGTCACTTGTGTGCCATGCACAGCAATGCACAACATGCACCAGCAACCATTTATCGTTATTATCCACTTCTGACCCCAAGGGCAATTTCCATTTCTTATCCACTTCCTCTGCTTTACAAGCAGCACAGACTGGGGGCAACAGGGCTAGGGCTGCCTTTCTTTCTCTGACATTAACTTCTGTGCAAGAGCAAAGGCTTGGGGCAGTGGGTACTCCAGCAGGAACCACTCTTCTTCACTAAGGACTGAAACAGCCTATACATCTTACAAGGAGGATGAAGTTAACTCTTAAATCAGTTAATTGAATCTTCAACAGGATCCATCCTTCACACTGTGAAAAGTAGCCAAGACAATGCAGAGGAAATCAGCAGTCTTCACATTTGGCAGTGTCTCTGACAGGAACAACAGGGAGCATCTTCAGAGAGAAAAGAAGTTACCTGGGGTTACCCAGAAGGTGGAGGTGCTGAAGAATGGCCATAGGCTTTTCAGAGCCAGTTCTGCAACTCCTGAAATGCAATCTTAAAAATGCAAACCATCCTGTATTTTCTTCTATCCTCAGACACAAGAGAACAAGTTAGAGAACTCTTCTTATTGGAGGAAGTTATTACCTCCTTCCCAGTTTTCCCAGCAGAAGAAAGTAATCTAGGGTTACTAGTGGAGGATATTTGAACAGAGGTGAGCTTCCTAAGCCATCTTCCTGTTACTGCATTGCGTTAAAAATACGCAGAGAACATTGAAATCAGTAATTTCTGTGTCCTTTGAAAGGAGACAGTCACTTAATTTAGATGCTGTGGTGCGCAGACGCGGCTCCGTGCTGGCTCTGCCAGGGAGATTACAGGGTAGTAGATTCCTGTGCAGCAGGGGATGACTGATGGAAAGCACCTCCTCACAGGTGGCTCAGGGCACATCTTGCTGGTTACACACAGAGCTGTTCATTGACTTCAGGTAAGCAAATGGGAGCTTTTTACTTCAGATTGATACATTCTGCTTTAACTTTATGCACAATTTAAAAGTGGAAGTGGTAGCGAGGGTGAAAGTTTTTTACATACAGCCAATCCTTCTGAGAGGCGATGTTAAGCACGTAACACAACTCACTGAAGCAGAGGAACTGCGCTGGCAGTAAATGAGAGTGTCACAATGATTTGTTTGAGCTCCTGCAGAGACAATTTAACATCATTTTGGTGACAGTGTATCAAGAACACACAGGAATTCATTCTAGTGTCAGCATAACTTTTATTTACTTATTGCTGTCAATATGCACAGTAAAGGAAGACCTGATGTGCTACCTCCTGCATACAATACTTCTGAAGAGTCAGGTATTGTGGCTTTCATGGTAATAGAACAAAAATGTTGTATTCACAGGCCACAGGGTGATTTTTCTAACTGCCTGAATTATAGATGCATTCCCTAGCTCTCCTTTATTCTGTCCCTTTTAGCATCACCTAATATAGACCTTGTAACTGGAAAATAGCCAGAGATGATGTGGGAGCAGCATAAAGGAAAAAAAAACATTTCTGTATTGCTTTATCACAGCCCTTCAGCCTTGTAGGAGCAAGAATTCATTTGTGGCTTTCTAGCATATAAACACAAGCAGATAAACGACAGAAGGATCAGGTATGCTAAGGAGGGATGGAAACAATCTTCTCCTACTGTATCACCTGTTATCACAAAAACATCCTCCTTCAGAGCTGGATCCTCTGACTGGATGAAACATCCCAATGCCTGGCAGAAGGATACTAGTCAGTAACTGACTAAAATGGGAAGTACAGGCTGTGCTTTCAAAGCTTTTCCTCTGGTCACACTAGAGTGATTCCATCCAGGAGCACTGTCACAGGATGTTCCTCCACCCAGCATTAACCACTCTCCTCTGGTTGGTAAGCCAAAGCTTGCTTCCCAGTCTCATCCTTGACTTCTCCCTAGGAACAACACTAAATTTATAGGGAATTATGTAGGTGGCCAGAAGCCAAAGGCTGTGAGAAGACCCTGTCACAGTCTGAATAGGACAGTAGCAAGCAACTACCTACGTGTCACTGGACATACATAATACCTGGGGGTCCTGATGCCATGAAAGGTAAAGTAAATCTGCAGTTTACCACCCCCTAACCCCTAACTGTACTTCTGCTGCTTACTTTATTCTCCTGCATATTTATTTCCCAATTAATATGCAGGAGAAAACTGGGTGTCACTCTGAGTGTGCTTATCCTGTGGTCTGTAAGCACCAGGCAGTGCTGTTCCTACAGCATGGGTAATTATTAGCCAACTGCTTGCTCAAAATAGGTGGGGGAGGCTGCAAGGGGCTCCACAACACAGTAACTCCTCTCCTGGACTCCTCTTCCACAGCTCTTACAGCTTGCCTGAAGTGGCAATGGGTTTTGTTGCTGGACAGTCCTCACCCCCCTGCCCTCCAACTTATTTTACAGAGGTCTTGAGGAAGCCATCAAAACTGTGTCAAAGGCTTCTCCACACTGAGGAACAGATAGCCAATAGCTAACACCTTCCCTAGTTCTGACACAGCTAGATGTCCCAGTGCAAAAAATGTGCAAAGGTGGCCCTGGAATGTTCTGCCCACCATCAACACAACAGAATCCTCCCTCTAGCTTGCATCAATGCCATTGAGTTACCTATAAGCTCTTCTCTCTACATGATCCTCCTTGGACCCAAATCCACAGCATCCTCCTGTTGTCTTCACCTTGTGTTGTTGCTGTTTGCTTGAAATAACGTAGCATCAAGACAAAAAGTTTGGCCCTGTGTTTGATACTTTTGCCTGTGCTTGGGAGGCTGGGACTGCTGCAGTCTTCAGGAAATGTGCCCCACCGAAGTGCTGATTGACTGAGGGTGTGCAGTGAGCCAACTCCTAGAGGGGATCAGGCAGAACAGGGTGAGCTGTGTTCAGCTGAGGAGATTACACTAGCTGGAACATAGATGCTACAGGTTTCCTCAAAGCACTTGTGTTTGGCAGACAGACTAGACAGGGAAGGAAAGGAGAGGCACTTCCTAAGCTACGGTCTCTGGTTCACTTTAACACTGACTGTGGCATCTTGGCCAAACATGGCTTAATGTAAGCAGCTGAAGCAAACAGGTCTGGAGTGATCAGCAGAGAAGGTCTGCCAGGCTGCAGGGAGCACTCAAACTAAAGCAAAGCCAATAACTGAAGGGATTGCCTACACACAACTCTCCCCCACCTTCCCCACCAAATGCCAGATCTCCCTTCTGAGCCTTGTGCCCAAGGCTGTAACTTTTGCAGAGCTGAATGGCAGGCTGATCTCAGAAGCCCCCTCCCAGGAAGCATCACTTTTTGTCCCCTGAAGCAGAATCCTTTTGTGACCTCATGATTTGATAGATAGTTTTCCTAAAGCGCTGGTCCCGGCTCAGTCTTCTGGCTGCTTCTTTCAGCTCTTCAATGTTTTCAGCTTCTGCATGTGAGAAGATGAAGGACTGTGACTGTTTCACTGAAACAAGAACAGCACAGAAAGATAAGCACTCTCCACCAGGGACACAAACTGAAGATAAAGCTTCACGAGAGTTCACGAGCCACGTGACCAACATGACTGAGCCTAATTCAGTCTGTGATTAGGCATTCTGATGAAGTCATATTTAAGTATGTTTTTTAGGGGCCCAGGACCATCACAGAAGTTTAGCTTTCAACTTCTATAAAGAAATGGGCAACAAGTACACAGGCTCAGTGCCTGTGCTCTGAGAAAGGAAGCTACAAGTAGCACTGTGGTTCCATTCTGCTGCTAAGGAACATGAAATACAAACAACATTTGCAGACTTTACTGCTCTGCCAGCCCCATTGGCACATATCTGCTCCTGCAGGATATAAAGCAGGAGGCTGCCCAACACCTACTGTCATTCCAGGAAGCGCTGGTTCTCCGGCAGCGGAAGCGGCAGCTCTTTATGCGGCGAGTGGCAGCCTTGTGGATGTACACGGAGTTCTTCATGATCACAGGCATCTTGGCCTCCAGCTCAGCGTTGCGGATGCACTCTTCAAAGAACTCTGGGAAGAGAACACCACTGTTACAGTGATGGGGCAGACACTCCAAGCAAGGAACCAGTCACAAGGGACTGCACTCGTTGATGGGCTGAGCCAGATAATGATGACCTTCATGAACAACAATCCATAAAGCTCCAGAATATCATCAGAAAGAACGTTTCCAAATGTCCATTTTCAAAGTGAAAAAAAACCTCCAGTTCCTAACAAATGCATACTCAAATTTAGAAAGAACTGCAGCCATTCATTCCACATCAGTAATTCTCACAACTGCTCATGACTCAGCTGCCAAAAAGTCTTTGATACTGTGATAAAACTTCTCAATTCTGAAGCCTTGCTCATCATACTTTCTTTGAAGGACTTCTAAAACCAGTCAGGTCTAACTGAAAAAGGAAGGTGTTGGCAACACCAGCACAGGCAAACATGGTAGGGGATTTCTTAATAGTATAGCAAATACTAGCACATAGTTACACATATTATGGGCTCCAAGAAAAGCCCCAGGTCAAAACTCTGATGTTATTCTGCCCTGATCTGCCACACAAACTGCTTTTCCTGGCCTATTTCCCCTCTTATGGTCTGACCAATGTCTATTCTGCCATTCCAGTCTTGCTGTTCTCCTGGCTGTTGCTGGTCCTTTGCTGTTCAAAAGCATCGTGTGCTAATGTGCCCAAACTCTTCTTTAAAGGGCAGGGCAGAGCTGCAGGAACCACTTGGAAGGACTGAGGCAATCTGTACTGGGACTAATGTTATGGGAAACATTGCTGGTCCCTTATTTTCTCTAGTGCTCTGCTCATCAGTACATTTTTACTCTTTTGAAAAAAACATCCCCCAAAATCTAAGGTTGGAAATATCAGGAGACATTCAGTACCAGTTACTCATTTATGCCCTGTGACGCTCTACTTGAATGCTGAGCTCAGCACATCCACTTTCGCTGTTTTCTTGCCATGGCTTTGAGCCAGTGGGATGAAATTCAGAATCATGACTGTTTTTCTCCATTTAGAAATCTTATATAGAAACTACTGATTAATGCTTTTTTTCATTTAAATATATATAAATTATAAATATGTGAATAGATATAAAACTATTTATAAATTTATTTTCCCTATTTACCTAACAGTGCTCAGAATACCACAGGACTTTTTGACTTTTCTGTATTGACCCAGTACATCCACCTTTCACTGAAATGAAGCCTTAACTGTACAGACCCAGCACCTTAATAAACACTTCTCCCTGCACTATAACTTGAGCATGAAAAATAAGCAAGATTTCACTCAATTGAAGCTGCTTATGTCAGTTCCCAAGCCTGACTCAAGCCAAATGCCAGGGTAATGCCCCCCAAAAGAACCCAAAAAGACCCAACCCAAACCAACCAAGAAAAGGCAAAGAAACGGGGACAACTGGTGAGGAACTCAGTCCTACACCTGACCCATGCACTGCAGTGCTGAGCTGATGCTGTGATTCAGCTCTGAGTAAAGATCCAAACTTCACCTTCTGGGTCACCCGCCAGCCCTTTGCTACAACAACCACAGACCTCCTTAAACTGGGGATATTCTTTTAACCAAGGCTGAGAAATAAAGCCTTGAGGGGAATCAGAGGACTCCTTATAACTCAGACCTAGTCAGCAGTCAGTTTTTATAGTTCTGCCACAGCTTCCCTGTTTGACATTTTGGAAAATATTTGCTCATCTCTAGGTTTGCCTTCCACCCAATAGAGAAGGCTGGAATAATTTCATGCTCCTTCCAGAGGCTGGAATAATTTCAGTCTCCTTTGGAGGCAAAACACCAACTACCTGCATAGCATATTATGGCTCCTCAAAGGGGAGGTGTGGTGGAGGTACAAAAGAGAGAGACCACATTTATCTGCAGCTTTCCTAATTTGGAATCTTCTTTGTGTGGCTAGGAAGATATGTAGAAATATTTCCACTCTTGAGTTTGCTCATCAGTAGAGAGCATGGATGACTAACTTACTTCTCAAGTTACTGACATCTGCTTTCATCTTCTTCTCTTTCTCCTTGTTGCAATTCAGAGAATTTAAGCCTTGCTCCAAGCTCTGCAAGGCTTCCTCAGCCTCTCTCAGTCTCTTCTCCAGATCCATGCGTACCTTCACTTCAGCCTGAGGAAGAAAGTAAGAATTGCTGGAAAACAGCTTATTTCTCAGTAAATATCCTGGTAACTCTCAAGGTCTGTGAGGGACTTCCCATGCATGAAAATGAAAAGACAACAGTGATGGAAATCCTTAGAAATATTGCAAGGCAATATAAAGGCGTATTTCTCATGTCTTCAGACAGAATCTGAAGTCCAGACTATTGCAGTAATTTTCCTTTAACTTCATTTTTCACAGTTTTCCTCACATTGCATAAACCATATGGAATCAGAGATGGTATTTCAACACATGAATTTGTGCTAATGCAAGCACTTGCAACTTAGCAGGAACAGAAGGACATCAATCCAGCTGAGACAGACTTGAGATAAAGGCAGTCAATGCCCACAAAGGGATTCACAGTGCTCAGTTTCAGAAACAAAACACAAGAGAAGTTAGAAATACTGTACTAGTTTAGCAAATGAGAAAGGTTACACAGCTTAGGTCAACTTAGCTTTAGTCTGGCCAAGTGGAAGGTTACAAGATAAGAAAATATTGGAGGTGCAAGAAAAAATAACTCAGGGTTTTTTTGGACAAAATATTTGTATAAGAAGTTTGAGTGTCAAACAGCCAATTATTAACATAACCTTTACATTGTTTAGATTTAAATAAAATACCATATTTGTCCAGTTACCTTTGCATAGATTAATGTATTGTCTGTTACAAAGGAGGCATGGTTCCTTTAGCTGAATTCCTCTGCTTTTGAACCCAAGTTCTTGCAGAGGTTACTGAAGATTTAAAAGTCTTAAGGTTGGTTTTCTGAGCACAAGTGAGGAGGGAAGATGTCTGCTCAGTTCTGCAACATCTATATTGGCATTTATTTGAAATTATCTTTATTCTTGATTGTTTCTACTTTCCTCTTTTACTTTTTTTCCTTCCCTCCATAGATTATGCTTTCACAGTAGCAAATTAAAAGACTTGCACTGAATGGATTAATCAGGCTTCAGGATATGAAAATAAACAGTAGTACTACATAGATATAAGATAGCAATTTCATGTGTTACTATGACATCATAGTGCTTTGGGTAGGAAGAGGCCTTAAAGATCATCTCATTGCAACCCCTTGGCCATGGGGAAGGATAATTTTCACTAGACCAGGTTTCTCAGAGCTCCATCCAACCTGGTCCTAAACACTTCCAGGATGGAATATCCACAACATCTCTGAGAAACTTGTTTCAATGTCTCACCACTTTCACAGTAAATAATTTCTTTCTAATACCTAATCTAAACCTCTCCTTTTTCAGTTTGAAGCCAATCTCACCTGTCCTGTCGCTACATGTCCTTGTAAAAATTCCTATAAGGTTTCCATCTCAGAGCCTTCTCTTCCCTAGGCCAAAGAGCCCCAACTCTCTCAGCCTGTCTTTGCAGGAGAGGTGCTCCAGCCCTCCAAGCACCTTGGTGGTCCTCCTCTGGGCTCACTCCAGCAGGTCAATGTCCTTCCAGAGCTGGATGAAGCACTGCAGGTGAGGTCTCACCAGCTTGGAGCAGAGGGACAGAATCACCTCCCTCGCACTGCCTGCTACTCTGCTTTGGATGCAGGCCAGGATACAATTGGCAATATGAAGCACAGCTAATGAAGATTTATGACCAAAATGTGAAAACTAAATAAAACAAAGAGTTTGGCTTGATAGGGAATGAATTGAAAGAGAAAACGGAAGCACTCTGAGTCCAGGGACAGCAATATATGACGTATGCAGGGGATACCTTGAGGTCTCTCTCTGCCTGCTGTTTCTCTGCAGTCAGCTCCGAGAGCGAGTTCTGCAGCGCTTGCGACTGGGAAGAGTAAAATTCCCGCTCCTCCTCCAGTGCTCGAGACCGCTCCTCATTCTCCTTCATCCTGGTGCATGGCACAGCAAACAAAGATGACCATTCCCACCCCAACACAACCCACAGGAAGGAAAGGAGCTCAGTATCATGATGGGACTTGCTCAGCTACCTTTGACTGCCCAGAGCAAAGAGACACTAACAGGAGCACTATGTGCTCCATTGCAACAACACAGGCATTGCTGGAGAAAGCAGGTGGACAGTTCTTGAATGGAACATTCTCAACAGCACTATGTGCTCCATTGCAACAACACAGGCATTTGCTGGAGAAAGCAGGACGACAGTTCTTGAATGGAACATTCTCAATTCCCAGATGAGGCCCAGGAGCACCAAACACTCCTTATGGAGAGGCCAAGAACACCCTCACATGCCCAAGTCCTGGTTTGAAAGGAGCAGACCCAAGTGGGACCAAGTTCAGCTGCCCTGCCTCACTCTGTCTCCTTTGAAGGATTTGTAAGCTGAACTCCTGCCATTGGAACCAGACAAGCTTCCAGACTTGTCCGATGCTGGCAACCAAAAAGCAAGTCAGCAGACAGTCACGTCATTCAGCACCACTAAGCCTGAGCAGAAGTGCTCTCTTTCCCCACTTCACCTTTTCTCTGCCAGGAGTTTCTCCTGCAGAAGTTGCTGCATCTTCTCTTCAATCTGTCGCAGGCTGCAGTGCAGTCCCCAGATGGGGCTTTGCTCCTTGCTGGGGCTGGTTGGAGGTGGGACCTGGCTCTCATTTTCTTCCAGCATCTCCAGCATTTGCTGTTTTTCCAGGGAAAGCTCCTTGAAGAAGGACAAGAGATTGTGAGTATCAGCCAAGTGTAATGTTTCTGCTCCTGTTCCTGCCTGGTTCTTCCTTACTGAGCGCCTCCATCATTACATCCACATGCCTCATTCTGGTAAACACAGGAGTAACAAAATTTGGGTTTCATTTCACACCTACTTCACGGGGAGCAAGCCTCCAACATAGCCTTTGCTATGAAGGGGTGAACCAGCAGGCTCCTTTGATGTGATATGCTAGTAAGGACACAGGCACTGGAACATGTGCTTCCCTGGTGCATCAGAGATGCAGGCAGCTTCCCTGCCTTCCCTGCTCTGCTTGCTCCTTAGTGGGAACTGGAGGCACTCCCTCTGTGGTACTTTTAACTGTGGGCAATGGGACACATCATGCTGTTTGTCTCTGAAGTGTTCAGTACTTCCATAGCTTTCCAGTTCTTTTGGTCATAACTGTGGGCAAGGAGAAGAGCCCAAAGGAACAGATTTTTGGACAAACTTGCAGGATCTGACACAAACATTGCAGCTTCAGAATGCCAACTGTGTGGAAATTTCACAAACAATATCCACAAATCCACCAGTAAGGAAAGATTTTAATACATCAAAACTATGTTTCCTAGATTCCCATGTGGTCCATGATTTTCTTGGGAATCATGCTCCCTTCTGTGAACAAAGAATGCCCCTCAGCTGCTTCAAATTCCACCAGAAGGTAGGGAGGTGCAGTTAAAACAAACAAAAAAAAAAAGCTCATCACAGACTTACAGTCATGTTGGCTGGAAGGGACCTTCCATTAGGCTCCTTCCCAGCTTGCTGTTCAGAGCCAGTATGGCAGCACAGCAGGATATGGTCAGCTGTGGCTGTTTACAGTCTGACAACAGTCCATGATGAAGGTTCCTCAACCTCTCTGACTGCCTGCCTGCCCATCTGGTGAAAATTCTCTCCCTACTGTTCCACCCAATCCTCCTAAACCACAGCTTATCATGGTTTTTGTGCTACCACCACATCACCTGGTACTGCTGAGAAAATCTTGGTTCAGTTGTGCTCTGTGTTATTTCTCATCCTTTTCTGCAGGGGATTTTGATGTTCATACCAGCTACCAAATGAACCTGTTTATCTGTACAGCACTTCAATTCTGGCATTAACAGATGTTGGATTCATTCCATGGGACAGCATTGCTTTCAGGCCCAAATGCTGTCACTCAGAGGGGAGGAGCGGTCACTCACCTCTAGGGTGTTCTGTAAGGACTCTGTCAGGCTTCGCAACTCCTTCTTCTCTTCCTCCACTCCTTTAAGGGAGCGGGCTGTGAGCTCCAGCTCCCTAAAGAAGCAAAAGGAGTGACAGCTATTACAGGGGAACAATAGCCCCGCAGACCGTGCCCAGGCTGTGCGGGCTGTGGGTATCCTGGTGCAGGACCTGCAACCATCAGTTGGTATAGCCAGTCCTGGAGAGCCAGGAGTTTGCCAGGAAGCATCACATCCTGCCTTGGACACACTACAGGTGTTCAGGAATTCTACTGTGCCTCCTGATCATCAAACCCAACCCAACAGTCACTGTGTTTCTCCAGCAAGGGTAGAGCCATGGTTGCAACTGAAAGAGCTCAGACAGGGAGTCACATCTAAGCAGAGCCTGTGAGAACAAAAATGGTTTGCAAAATCACACTGACTTTTCTGAGATGTTACTCAGGGGGAAAAAAAGAAAAAAGAAAAAAAAAAAAAAGAGAGTGATAGCAAAAAATGCCCTTTCAACACTTGGGGCAAAGCACTTGGATCCTTCTATTTCTAAGTACATTTGCTGCTAATATTTTGCACAGTTAACTTTAAAAATGACAAAGCTAATCTTGGTGATCTTACTAATCTGTGTATCATCATGCATCCACTGTCATTCAGCTGATGGTAGAAAACCAGATCCAGGTGTCTAGACTCCACAGAGCTGTTCAGGCAGCTGAACTAATTGCCTCTCTGAAATCTTCTCTTGCATCTGTCCCTTGCCATGCTACCCCAACTAATGTGAGGGTTGCTTGTGTCCCAGCACTTTGAAATTAAATTGCTGGAGGCCTGAGCGCAAAATGAAGCTAAGCTGTGTTCTATCGGCCATAAGCAATAGCAAATGCAGGTAAAGAGCCACAACCATTCCTGCTTTGGTCAAGGCACCATCTCCTTCCTACATGCACAAACCAGATGGATTTTACAGACTGTTTGGATTCAATACCACAGTGTGCTTTTGCCCAGTGTGGGAGCTGTGTCCCTTCCCTGCCCTGTGGCCGTACCGTCTGATCTCCTCCTGCTCCAGCCGCAGCTCCCGCACCACCTCTTCAAAACGCTGCTTCTCTGCTTCCAGGATCTGGTTCAGACGCTCGAGTTCCTGCTCCAAAAGAGAAGACAGGAATGTACTCTGCCAACACAGTCAGGAGAGGCTCCTCTGTTAACAGCGCCTGGGACTTTTAACATGGCATTTAACGCAAGCTGTGCAGAGCTACAGGGTGTCTGACTCCACCACATTTTTGTCCAGGGGCAATTAGAAGGATTTCAAACATCCAAAAGCCCCAGCCAGGTCACCATACATCTGGAAATCTCAGACATGCTCCTTGCAGAGGTCAGCTCTGTAACATATGTACAGAAGTTCCAAAACTCTCTGGGAATGCTAGACTTACTTGTATGTACCATTTTCAGGCACCCACCCATACAGACACAGAAAAGCCAGACTGCCTCAGAATGCAGCAGCTCCGGGATTTCTGTGCCTGAAGTGTGATACTTCTACCAGCCCAGCCTTTCTTCCCACCCCAGCTGGGGCAGGAAAACACAAACCATTCAGTTACAGCTTTGCACAGCTTAATCAGCCTGTCACTATCTTTGTGGTGATAAAACCAAAACTCAGTAAGGGTCCCTCTCCTGGTCAGGTCCCCTTGCAGCCATAGTTGCTGTGCAGAGCTCCTGCTACAGGCCCCTGCCAGTCACAGAACAGTGTTGGCACTGGATAAATTTATAATAAGACCCTTGCTCCATGGTGCAGGTACACAGTTGGAGCCTGCTTTCCCAACATACTGCTCTGAAGCCTTCAGGCTCCCACAGGGTAAAACCACAAAGTTCAGCAAGATCTACATTCAGTCCTTCACAGCACCAAACTCCTTCAAACTAACCCAGCCCCATCTGCTCTTTGTGGGCAATGGAGTTACTGTGCATGGCTTTGGAAGAGCAGAGATTTGTTCCAAGATCTTCAGACAAGGTCATTTCCCCCACTGTGGCTGTGAGCTGTGCAGCAGGCTACCTCACCATCTCACCAGAGGGAGATGTCCCTCTGCAAAGGCAAAAGGAGCTTAGCCCTAAGCAAGTGTCCAAGCCACTTTTGAATTTTACCTCTCCAGAAATGTATGCAAGAAAGATATAGGCCTGAGAAGCCTAGGTCAGCATTGCCATCTTTTCCTAAGGAGAGGCAGCAGTCATTTTGGATTAACTGGAAAAGAGCATGAGGCACTTTGCAACGTCGTGACATGGTGGTCCATATCCATGCAGACTTTCCAACTGTGTAATAGGACAATCCATTTGCACAGCTATCTTGCCATGACTTTATGATGGTGCTATAAAAATCAGTATAGATTTGGATTGGTAAATATAAGGATGTGCTACTTCTATTATATTAAGCAATTACAAGCTAGGAATAGTTTGAAAAGCAATTATAAACTTGATAAAGCAACCTGGCCTAGTGGATGTCGCTCCCTGCCATGGCAGGGGAGTTGGTACGAGATGATCTTTAAGGTCCTTTCCAACCCAAGCCATTCTATTCTAAGGTAAACTAAGGTATAACAGTCACATCTAAGGGAGTGCTCTCTTGATTTTTCCCTAGTGCAACATTTTTTATTCTCCCCATTTCTGCTGTGTCCAAAGAACAAACCACATTGTTTTTTGTGCTCCTTATTTCTCACAACAGTACCTTTATGCTAAAACAATGTTTGTTTACTTGTTTTCTAATTGTGGAGATGGCCACATTAATTGCCACAATCTTCTTGAATCTTCACAAATAACAATTGTGTAATTCAATCCAGTGAGTATCATTTTCATTTCATCTTCCTCCCTGGTCCTCCTGGAGCCATAATGACAAACCTGCTGCATGGAAAGTAACAGGGAAAGGGGGCAGGGATACACCTCCATGACCCATCTCATGGCACAGGTCTTATTCCTCTCTTGATCCACAGGACCCAGAGGCTGGCTGGAGAATCTTGTGCCTCCACAAGCCTCTCTCCCTGAACACTGACATGCCTTCAAACCAACACCTCCCAGCACTGCCACATGGCAGCTGAAGAAAATTGGCTTGTGACGAACTCACCTCTTTTTGCTCCCTCTGCAGACATAGCTCTTCTGTTTCTTCCATTAATTTATCTGCAAGCACACAAAAAAAGCCCAAGCACAGAGAAAAGCATTTTATATCCTCAGGATATTTACAAACAAGAAACACTGACTTTTTGAAACTTGAAAATGCAGCATTCCCTATTCCTTTGTGTGTATCTGTCTGGGAGGCTCCAAAGGCTGAGATGGTACTAATGGGATGTTCTATAACTTCCCTCCTGCCAAATAACTTAATCAACTAAAGACGCATATTGCTTTGTACTCCTTCTAAGGTTCCCTCTCAATGTTCTTAAAGAGCATTAATGAACCATTCTTCACCATCCTCCAGATGAGTCAGGAAAATATTCTTATCTTGCTTCACAGATAAGGAACAAGGCACAGAAAGGTCAAGTGAGTGCAGAGGGTCACACCACATGTAGCAGCAGTCAGTTTTCCTGCAGCTCACCTGCCTAGCCCATCATCCTCTCCTTAGCCCTCTTGGGCAGCACTGCCAACTTCCTGTTATCACCTTGGGATGTCCCAGCCAAGCCCAGAAATCAATCCCTAACTTAGCCACAAAACTTCTGCTGTACAGAGCAGATCCCCTCAACAGCAGTTGCTCTTGCCCACTGAACACACACATGCCCAGCAGAGGCTGTGCTCTGTCCTCACCCTGCAGCCTGCTGTGCCAGCTCCAAGCTCAGCGGCTCTGCCTCGGGCAGCTCTTAGCCACGCTTACAGGAATCCAGAGAGAAACACTTCTCGTGGTCAAGCCTCGGGTTTAGCTCTCAGCTCTGCCACCTGGCTGCCGCGGGAGCAGGGCAGATTGACTGGAGCACTTCTATCTTCCTCTCGAGAGGTGAGTGAGGTGCTACTGGTTTCCCTGGTACTGAGAACCTGACAAGGTTTCTGCTGCTGGCAGCATTACTGCTTCTAGGAGGAATGCAGACCTCTGCCTCCTGCCCAGAGCAGGGCTCCTGGTGCCGGAGAAATAGGGTTACATTACCCAAGCTCTGCTGAGCACCACTGGTGCCTTTCTTTCCCACTCTCTCCCTCTTCCCCCTGGCCAGAGCTTAGCACAGACACACTGTAATTACAGAGGCTCACCCACCCTCCCTCTTCTGCCCCTCCTGGGGGTCCCAAGCCCTAGACCTGATAGCTTCTGTAATGTCCATGTCTGACAGTGAAACCTGGATCCTAGCTGAGTGGAAGATAACTCAGTGTGGATTCAAGAAATTCCTCAGAGCAGTGTTCGTCCAGAGAACCTTGACCTGTTTTCAGGAACAGTGCCTGACCTCAAAGCTTGACTACAGGATGGACACAGATCATTGAAGGTAGGGCTAATGAGGCAGAAGCTTTAGCACTTATATAGAAATAGACAGTTCATATCAAAAGAAAGTAACCAACTGTGACAATTGACCAGCTCTGAATGTTCTTGTCATGGACCAAAGAACCCAGTGAAACATATATTTTATATTCCAAATATCTCCTATTTGCCACAGAATGTGTATTCCTCTATTTCTCCACCACCTTTTCTTTTATCATACTAAAGAGTTCTTTATTCTTTAAAGCCCTTTCATTTGCTCTGCTGGTTGCAAAATGCTTTGATGAAACTTTCCTTTTTCTCATTTTCCTCCTCTTTCTGTCCCTTCAGGTCCTCCTCTCAGTAGCCCCCGTTATTTCTTTGTCAAGTGTGGAACTACTTCTCCCTGCCTGCCTCACATATGAGCTTGAAGCTTGAAAACGCAGCATTTCCTATTCCTTTGTGAGGGGTCACATGGGTGAATGGTGTTTGGATGGACAGAGTAAACATGCCTTGATACTTGAGCTATGATCAGTCACTTGTGAGACTATATACCAAGATCAGCCCGGATCAGCATGGATGCAGAAATGCAAAAAGCTCCTTAAGATTCCTCCAGCGGCTTGGCAATTAGGAGCACATAGCATGAGCCCCTGCTCAAGGCATCACCAACCTGAAGCACCCAAACTTCTGCTATCTTATTTAAAGCAGATAACTCTCCAGACAAGTCACTGGGCCCACATTTGTGACCTGCACCCCCAGGTCAGAAGGTCTCTTAGACCTGGGGAATGCTGTAACTTGGAGGTCATCTGGGTTAAAAGGGCTACTCTCCCTTGGCTCTTCCTATAGGCAACGAGGGGAAGAGATAACTGGACTTCTCAAGGCAGTCAGAGCATCCAAGGTATCAGGCCATGCAGAGGCTGGCTCCTAAATAGGGAATTGGATTACATAATCTACCTCTCTTCATACCTAGATTATTTCTGTTCTTTCTCCACTGTCTACAGAGAGCACTGACAAATTAACCACTGCCATTAAATACCTCAAACAAGCCCATGTAAATGCTCCCACTTCCAATATGAACAGTGTCAGCAAACACAAAGGTCAAGTAGAGTAAGATTAAAAAAAGCACCAGCTAGGTGAAGAAAACTCATATGAAAATCTGTGACCAACCTCAGAAGTATCAGGTCTTACTGAGGGAGACAAAGGTATTGTCTGTTTGCTTGTGAGCAGCTGAAACCAGCACATCCAAACCTCTCAGGGGTGGCAAATGTTTGTACAGATGAGCCATGGAGGACTGCAGAATGTTGGGCAAAGCATGTTCCTCCTTCACACTCCACACAGATGTCCAGATCCCACCTTAACTTTTGCATGTTTTGACTCTCTTCAGACCTGAATTTCAGCTGCTGACTGCTCAAAAGCTTCATCCAGAGAAAACCTGTAGCTGCTTGTCTTGACCACACTGACTACTCCAGGAAAAGCAAAATTACTATTTTGGCCTTTATGGCTTTCAAAGTAAGAGTTTCCTACCTAAATATTCCTGTTTCTCCTTGGCCAGCTGTAGTCCTTGAGCTTCCAGGCTCTCGATCATGGCTTCTCCCAATTGAGCATTCTTCCAGGTCCTAGGGAGAGCAGACACAAAGCAGGCAATGTAAGAGAGCTAAGGGCCCCACGGACTAGGACAGGGGACTCAGCCTAGCAAACTGCCAAGGAATTCAAACATGCAGACTCTCATCAGTTGGGACCAAAACTCCCTAAAAGTTTTCTCAACAAATGAATTGGAGAAATTTCCCTGGCATTCAGTAATTATTTATTTTTTTTAATACATGGGCTGTATTTCAACCCCTCACAGCTATTCAAATGTTTTTTCCAGTGTTTTGGAGATTTTTATATTGAACTTAATTTTGAGGGCTCTCCAGACCAATCCAGCACACTCACAGCCTTCAACTGCAACAGGATATACCTGGAACTCTTTAAATGACAGACTTTAGAACCAGATTTTAGCTTTTAACTCTAGTAACTTCCCACTGCAAGCAACATTGTCTTCTGCAGCCTTTCCAATATTTGGCTGTTAGAGTCACTCTTCCCTTTCAGACTTCAACCACTTCTTGAATCCTTCCTATGGCCTTTTACCTTCAGTCTTTCTGGTATCCATCATCCATCCTGGAACCAATCAACCCCTCCTCTGCTAAAGTTGTAAGCCACTAGGACTTGGTGTCTGGCCCTACGCTGTGAGTCAAGTGCTTTTTCCTGACAACGAAGAACCAGAGATAAAAGCCAGAAAAGATGCTGGCAAGTAGGGAATGTTAAAGGAAGCAGGCATATTCAAAGAGGACCTTGTGTTATTGTAGGGCCACCGGCCAGAGGATCTCAAGGTCTCTTAAACACCTCAGGAAGCAAAGCTAAAAAATGGCCTGTGGAGCAGATATCCATTACTGGTTGAGTTCACAGACAGGCTAGGCTTTAATACAGATACTAAACATCAAGGACAAGCACACACAAAAACAAAAAATAGAACCAGAAATGGAGTTTGCTGCTCACTTCTATTCATGTTTCATTAGAAAAAAATCTACACACATAAAATGTGTAACATTAAAACATACCTAAAATTTATTCCAATACATTTATATAGATGTGCATACAGGAACAGCAATTGCTGCCCAGAAATTCTGCCATTGTTGTTAAATCCTAAGGGATCTTATAAATATTAAATATTTGTAAAGCTTCCTGTACCAAGCTTCTTTGTGAACAATTTGAAATTCTAGCTTTTTGGAAACTGTTAATTTGGCAATCTCCAATTTCAAGGCAAGCTGTACTTTGTCTCTTATAAAAGCCAGATGGGCTAATTAAACACACACCACCCCAGGGACCAGGCAGCTTACAGCTCCAGCAGCCCAAGCTCTTTGCAGATATATGTGTTTCTTGTCAGCTAATGAGGCTACTTCTAAAGTAGAGAGGAAATTAGAACGCTAATTTAAAAGGTGCTGTTTTGCCCACAGGTAGACATCTTCATCTCGAGTGAGAACATGTGGGTGTGAACGTGTTTTCTCACTAACGTTCCCTGTTACAGGACAAATCTGATCCCAGAGAGGCAAACAGGAGGGGGGAGAATGACAGAGTTTATCATATGATTACATGGAGGGTTTCAAAACATCTGTAGCCTTTAAGGTGTCTGTTTACAGATTCTCTTTTTCAGGGTTCCCTCCCTTCCCCAGACTAACAAGACATTTCCCTGTCTTACTCAAAGGTTACTGCACCCACTGCTGTGTGACTTTGAAAATGCACTTGGATCACCATGCAGCATTTAAACTTTTATTCCTACATCTGCTGGAACCAGTGCTGGTGTAACCACAGCCACAGGGAGGAACCATTTGAGGGGCAAGCAAGAGCTTATTTTATTTTGTATTTCTTGCCAAGTGAGTTTTCATCAGAAAAAGCTACATTGCCTAAAGTATTGGAAAACACATTGGAAATTGGGCCAGGAAGGTTCATGGGACATGTAGAAAGTCCCTGCCTGGAAAAAAAAAAACAACCCCAAAGCTGTAGAGAATCTCCATCACATATACACCTCAATCACTATCTGTTCCAGTCCTTCTGCAGCACTGGGAATATTTCTTTAGCTTTCATTGCATTTTACCTTTCTTGGTAGCACCCACAGCCAATTTTTGGAGACACTTAGCACTTTATAGTCTGCAGTATGTAAGTACTACGTTACTTTTTTTCTCCTGCATTGCCCACCAAGTTTACTTTATACCAGTTCAGGGAATGCTGCTGTGGATAGAGAGAGGTTATGTGTGCCCCTCTCCCCCACTTGCAGCAGCAAAGCCTCTCCAAGTGGGAAGAAAGCCTGGCACTCTGGGAGTCAGGGCTTTGTGCATTTCCAAAAAGCTTTCACAATCTGACAAGTGTGGCAAGTCCAAGCCACAACATTTTGGATGTGTGGGGATCCCATCAGTTCCCCTCTGCATTGAAGAAGCCATTTCCCTACCAGGGCAGGAGGCTTGGAAAGGAGTGAAGAACTGAAGGGATCACCAAGCAGACTGTGATGGTGGAGGCAATAACCAGTTTTGCAGGCACATACACATGATCCACCCCAGATGGAAAGAGACAGTGGACAAAATTGAAATAAAGAATAGAGGATATTTCCCAGCCTGGATTTGTTTTTCCTCATTCACCTATAGTCTATGGAGTTTGTTATGGGATTGGGCTCTTTTTTTTTGCTTTTTTTTTTTTTTTTTAAGTTGCTTGGTTTTGGTTTTTTCGTTTGGTTCTTTTCTTTTTTGATCAGCTTTAAATAATGATGAAAACAGCAGGATGGTCCCAGCTAAGTGCTGCAGTGCCACTGGCAGTACAATCTCCATCTAGGAACAAAAGAACATTATAATTGCCTAGAATAATTAAACTGTATTCTTTTAGCTTTTCTATTCACTGCAGATCAATTTATTGGCCCATGCTGGCCTTTCTGACTGCTGTTGAGCTCCCAACCCGACCCCGTTAAATCACATAATCTGTGCTTTTCCTTGGTTTGCTGTATGATAGCAGCCACTTCTAGCTTCAGTTTTAAATGCTACTGTTGGAATATTAAAGCATGGGCTAAAGAAAAGGCTGCCTCTGTGACAAATGCAGCAATGCAGGGCTTACTTACATACCCGTCCTCAGTTGTGCTGCCCTCCCTCCCTCTCATACACACCTGAAAGGTGAACTTGGTCCCAAATTATTGCCCTTGGCAATAGTTGATCTTAACATTGGCAAAGGCAAGTGCAGACCTGAGCTATTCAATAAAAATCTCCACATTGCTGAAGGGCTAACTCTGTTGGTCACTTCTCCTGTGCAGTGGCCAAGGCTGCTCGTGCCAAGGGGGTGGCAGACCTCTGCCTTGGGTCCTGTGTCCCATGGGACTCCTGCTCCCATGAAACTTCATGGACAGCTTTGTCTTGCAGCTCATACACTGCCACGGAGGGAACAGCTGGCCCCAGCACTGCAGCCAAGCACAGACCTGCAGCACAAAGCTTGGCTTGGGCTGATCCACCTTAACATTAGGTTCCCCATTAATTACAAATCTACATGTTGAGCCTCACAACATTGAAATTAACTGAGATATTGCCTTAACATGTACACATACATGCATACACTGGTATTACAAGTTAAACAGCTTCTGTCCCTACAGTGATAAGAGACCACACATGAAATGCAGCCAGGAAGGGCAAAGCAAAATGCTCATTGCTTTAAGCCTCATAGCTGAACAGCAGGCTCTGCCCTACAAACCCAGGAAGTTTCTGTATCTCATTTGGGAAAGTCAAATCCCTGTTTTAGTGTTATCTCTTCCTGCATCTGCTGAGATTTAGAAGAAGCCTGCTCTGGCTTTGCAGGACAGCTGCTCATTGCACTGTCAGGCTCCTGGGTGCTGGGGGATTGCAGAGCTGGAGGCCAACTAACTGCAAATCTCTCTCCAGCATTCTCAGCAGAGTGTGAAACAGTACTGAATGCAGAGAGCAATAAAACCCTCTCACCCCTGCAGGTGGGCTGGAAATGCTTTGCTAACACTGCCTCTCCTGGGATTTAGGCTACCTCCACATTTCACAATTAAACTGTTTTGAGAGGCCAAATCCTGCTGCTGCATGGCCTGAGCACCCACAGATCTGGGCAGAAGGAATGCACACCCCATGGACACAGAACTGCAATTACTGTTATTGATCAGAACTGTGATGGTGAGGTCCCTGATCATAGCAGGACATAGAGCCACATGGGCAGCTGCTCACTAGCTTCATGCCTTGCCTGTTCTGCTCTTACTTTATCCCAAATTCATACAGAGAGGTTGTCTGACTCCCACTTCTGTCAAGACTTCAAACCTTGCTTCCCACACAAAATGGACCAGGAGGGTTCCCACCTCTCAGAGGCATGAGAGAGGGATAGCAGCTGGAACTCAGTGTATCAGCATTTGGCAGATGACAGCCTGGGGTGGTGAACAGAGTGACACACTGCACTACAAGGTGGGAAGCTTTGCATCAGTTTTAGAGCACTCCCCTTTAGAGTAAGGATGGGTCCAGAAGTAAAGCTCTCACTGTTTTTGAGAAGCTTGTCTGGCTCCTCATAGCCCTTCTAGTTCTAGTCAGCCTAGTCAGGCTTCTTCCTCTTTATCCTTTATACACCTACAGAGCAGATCAAAGCAAATAAGGAATAGAAAGAAGCTTACACTTTTCCAGACTCCTGCAGCATCTCCAGCCACTGAGCCTGCTCAAACTCTGATTCGGCTGCTAGAACAATGTTACCCTGGAAGAGGGGAGGGGGAAAAAACCCAGATTAGAGAGGCTGGTGCCTTATGCACCTCTGTGCACTTCTGGCATGAACTGGACACAGTGTGGTGGGAGGAGCGCCCACCACAGCCTTCCACCTCCTCAAGAAGCATCACACGGGAGCAAATACGACCTAGGCCTACCACACATTGGGAAGTGTGCACACAGCAAACAGCCACAGCTGGAATAACTCTGATAGGGCAACATGGGCTCTAGGGCTCCTGAGAATCTGTCCACTGGTGTGCTAGTATCCTAAAACCTGCTGTCAGAAAGTGCAAGTTTCCCTGTTGATTGTCAAAGCAGCAGCAGCAGCAAAGTGTTGAGGGGACTTGGGATGCTAAGTCACCCTTGCCCTCAGGATAGTCTGTCCAGAGAGGGTAGGCATACCTTGGTGGGGAGGGAAAAGTCTGCCAGTCCAGCTCTGCTCATCAGCATTAACCTGTTCTGTGGTGTTTGGAGCTTTTTAGAAGAAAAGAAATCTACTTACATGGAAGTCTTCATGAGAGATCTTTATGGCATAAGGCATGTTGGCCTCTTCTTTGGGCTCCACAATGCAGCCTCCCAGGGGTATGACACCCTGGAGATAAACCAGAGCACTCTAATCAGTCAAAAAAAAATCAAGTATAACTATCAACTAACCAGGAGCTGAACTTTCAGTCACTTTGTTGGCCCCTGCCCTGCCTTGGCTATTCTGGGAAGTGCAATACACACAGTTCCTGCAAAGCAGAGGGACTCTCATCACCACCAGGAAACCCACAGCAGGTATCTGGAAGGGGCTAAGGATGGCAGTCCTGCCTTCAGCACAGAGGGAAAGCTGTTAGCTAGAACATGGAAGCAGAAACTGTTTCATCAAGGAGGAAGTGATCTCCCAAGAGGGGCAAACCTTGCAGATTCTCATGGAAGAGGCTGTGCATTCATTACAGTCACTGACAGCAGTGAAAACCCCACAGTGCTGTGTGGGGCAGGCAGCTGGCTGTGACAACCAGGATGAGTGGAATCAGCACCTTAGGAAGCTCATGTGCTACATCAGCCTGTAGTGACTGCAGAGGACAAAAGCAGCCCAGAACACAAGGTCCTCTGGAGCTACAGAGGCCACTCAGGTACTGAGGGCAGGTGGGCCATCAGCTGCTGCCAAGTGCAAGTACAGGTTAGGAACAAGAAGCAAATGGAGCTCTTAGCCCCACCACTGGCTTTGCCAACATTATTTTTATAGCCACAATATTAGTTGATTAGATCATGAAAACAAGGGAATATATCTTCTATCAGGTAATAAAAAACAGAAGTCATATGCCTGCAGAATCATTAAATGTCCTGAAAAGGTGCCAACATGATTCCTTCTCTTTTGAGGCTTCCCTGAACCTGTGAGATGTCTGAGGCTTACTGGGACTTACCTCTTCACCTGCTGGGCCCATGGAGGAAGGGGGAGGGAATGCTGGAAACAGAATAACTCCTTCCTTGTGCAAACACTGCTCACCTTGGGATGGATATTGAAGTATTTATTGCTTTCAAAACTCTTCTTCTCACTCTCAGCATAGTACAGCAGGAAGCTTTCCTTAATGATGAAGAACCTTTAAGACAGAGAAGGGAAATACATTCTGGTGAAATGAGGGTTGTGGTTCACAGCACAAGAAAACCCCCACCTAACTAAAGCTGCTTTCTGAGCAGGAGAGTTTACCACTCCCACCTAAGACTAAGGTGAGGTGCCTCACTTCTGCTGGTGCTTAACAGCAAGTGCCAAGTTGAGGTACTTTGTGCTTGCAGTTCACCCCAGCAGGCACTCACCAGAGCTGAGGGAAACCCACATGCTCACAGGGCACAGGGACAGCACTCTGTGCCCCAGACAGGACCACAGACCTTTGGCACCTCTATGTGTGTGCCCTCTCTAGCTCACATGTTGAATTCAACCTATTGGAGAGAGCTGCTCTTTTATTCAAGGGTCTCTTGCATGGGCTGAGACCAACTAAATGCTTATTTTGCAATATGCTGCCTGCCACCCTCTTCCCTCCCATCTCAGCATAAGCCAGAGGGAAGTGTTTCCAGTCCAACAGAGAATCACAGCCTAGCATCCCCAGGTGACTCTCGAGGCAAAAATTGGCCACCAAAGCACTCAGGAGCAGAAATAAATTTGAGAGATATTTTTAAGCAGAGCACCTGGCAAACTCTCCTGTCACTGACCTTCACAACTACAAAGGAAATTGAATATTCTTTTTCTCATATGTGTAACATTAAAATAGGCCTTGTTCTGCTCACTTAGCCTTAGGTATGCTCTGGTGATCATTATGTAGTAACCACAAAATATCACAGCTTCTGTAAGCCAAGCCTCTAACTTACTGGAATGCATCCTCAAAATTATGATTAAAGGAGTGCCACCTTTAACTTATTTGGGTTTTGGAAATGCCCCTGGGAGTGTCCCTCCTCTCTTCAAAAATTGAGGTTGCACATATTCTGCAGGCAGTGGTACAGGGGAGAGATACCTGACTTAGTTTCAATTTGGTCTAAATCTCTGCAGCACTCAAAAATTGAGCAGCTGAAGAAAAGGAAAGAAGAGCAGCTGAAAAAAAAATGGGGACAAGTGTAGTAGGGAGGTTTCAAAAGAGCAAATGACAAAGAAAATGTATTGTTCTGTTTTGTACATATTTTCTGACATGAGAAAGAGGAATCTGGGAAGAAAGTGAAAGGCAAGAATGTGAAAATTATTTAAAAATGCCTTTTTACATTTCACAAAACACAGCTGTGTAAATCACTTTCATGTGGTCCTGAGGGCAAGAGACCATGAGGAAATTGGAAAGGATAAGGCACCTCCGTGAATAATAAGAACATTCCCAAGAAATCCTCCTGTTTCTGGAAGGGAATAAGAGAAGACCTCTACCGGCAGTGCTGCCCACTTGTGCAGCCTGGGCATTGCTGCACCATTCCTTGGAGCCACCATTAGTAATGGGCTAGAGGCTGAGGGGGCTGATCCACAAGGACAATTCTAATGCCTTCATGCACCCCCATCCCCCCCCAGACCTCTCCTGAAGTGAATGGATTGTCAGATGGAGCCAAGTCCTTCCTCCAGTCCAGATGAGTACAGAAATCTGGTACCAGTTTAGTTCCAAAAGCTGAAGAAAGATGTTGAAGCTGGCAGAGAATTATCATAATAAAATAATATATATAATTATTAATAATAATTATTATAATTATTTTACTTGGGTGAAAACTTTACTGCTTCCATCAGCTTCTGTCTCTTGGTCTTCTGCTATGGCTCTGGCAACACAGATGAAATTGCCAAATGCCATGGAAACAGACCACGGGCTCTTGGGGCAATAAAAGAACAAAGCTAAACTTCTCCAAGTCTGCAGCAGACTCAAGTTCTGGACCACTTAGTACCTTCTCCAAAGTGTTTGAAAGTGACAGTCATTGAACAGGTACTTATTTACATCCAGAAATCTTCAGAACATACAAACACCAGCAGCAGTTATTGTTCCCCAGTTTTTTTTCTTCTCCTTGCCCTCTCATCTGTACCTGTTCATGTTGACATCAGAGGTGGGGAGAAGCAGGTACTTTGCCAAGGCAGACATCAGAGACCTCCAGAGAGCAGACAAGATTTGTTCCTGGTTCCTCCTGTCCACATCACTTCTGTGAACAGCAGCCTTGTGCCTTTCTGATTAATTTTCCTCGCATCTCTGGTTGTTAACTCTATATAAGCAAGTTTTCCTTTGAGTAGCTGCATCTTTCTGTTTTCTTCAACTCTATGCTTAGTTCAAGGAGGACTTCATTCTTTAGAGAGAAATGTGGCTCATCTGCACAATAGACACAGAAATGACATCTTAAAAGAACAAACCTGCCTGCCCAATGGCCTGTGCTTGGTCCAGTGAGTCACAGGGAACCAGATACTGTGGGCACAAGTATGAATCTAGAGATGCCAAAAGTCAACACACCACATGAAACAGAGAAAGTCAAATCATCACTTTCAACACTCTTTTCAGTCTGACTAATCTCAAGAAACATTTGCTAGACAGGTAAATATATTGATCTTTAACTCTCTGTGACTTTTTAATTTAAATGTTATCCCCCAGTTAAAGACAGGGTTTAGTTTGTTACATACTTTTTATTACTCAGTGCTGATAATCCTCATATTATAGATTATTCTTCAAGGAAAACCAAAATCAAAGCAAAAATAAGAACAAAACATAGCACAAATCTCTGAAAATTGATGTGTCTCTCACAGATAAATTAACTTTTAGATCCCTGATCTCAGAGATGTGGAGAGAAAATATGGGAGTTTGGAATGAAAATATACAAAATAAGAATTTAAAATAAGAAAAGTAATGAAGGAAGAACATTGAAAATTTGGTTAGCTTGTGCACATAATGTATTTATGCTCAGATCATATTCCCTCACCTATCCTTACCTGGAAAGCAACACTGAGCAACCAAGACCATCACTTTAAACGACCTTCAGGACAGAGTCTCCATGCAACAATCCAGGGGCAATTGATGCAGCATGGTGAAAAGAGGGATGAAGTAAAATAGAGGAGAGTTACAAGACTCAAGAGCAGGTTGAAGACTAAAGCAGCAGCCAGGTGAATAAGAGCAGAAAGAGAAAAGATGCTCAAGGGAGGATGGGGAGAGACACTCCATTAGGACTGTGATTGGAGGACTGGAGACACTGAACATGTGTCTGAATTAGGCACAGATGTGGCAGCAGGAAAAAAGGGACAGGGGAAGATTTTGAATACAAACAAGAACCCAAAAAAGGAGCAATTTAAAAACAGCAGAGCTCAAAACCTTGGAGAACAGCAGCAAAGGTGTGAGAGGTGAGACAGCCTGTCACAGCCACACTCCACAAGCAGCACAGGTAATACAAGAGCCATTCATGTGGTCAGCTGCTGTGGTCACCCATCCCTGCTGCTGGATCCTGTCCTAAGGAACCACTGAAACCACAGTGTAATTAAACCGAAATAGCAGAGGAATGGTAACAATTTGAGTGACTTGGATATAAAGCAGAAACAACAGCTCTGTACTGGACAAATTGAGATACCTGATCTCTGTGGAATAAGTACTCTTTGTATCACAGAAGGCTAATGAAATTAATTAGCTAATCTTTGTACAAGTTTTTGACATGACAATGGCCTAGATGAAGTAGTTACACTATAAAACTGCAGCAGTCTCCCTGGTCCTTTATTCTGACGGTGTTTCTCTGGGCCAGGAGCACAGGGGGCAAATCCCATTTACTAGATCAGCCCAGTGCTCTATCCCCGGGGACAGCTCAGGGAAGCGATGGGCAAATGATCTTTATTATTTGCATGAAGATCAGAGTTCACAGTACCTGCCCCTCGCTCTTCCTCTCCTGACAGCTCCAGGCTTCCCCGCCTGCCTCCTGCCCCGGCACCCGGAGCACGCCCAGCCTGGCTGGGAGCGGGAAGAGGTTCAGGATGCTTAAATGGGAAGATTAGAAGGAGCAGAGGGAAGCACACTCTCTCACAGCCCCGCTGTCTTGGCAGCCCCTGGGGGGTTCTGAGACACACGCACGCTGCTCTGCAGCTGTGTGATTCCTGGGGGTTCTGAGCAGAAAGCAGCCATAAACAATTCCCTTTTCCATCTGTCCTGTGACCACACGCAGTGACTGTTAGTAGCCACTGTGGAAAACAAGGTTATGTGCCTGCTTTGCACTGCCACAGACAGGACTGGTTCAAGAAAAGACAAAAAAATTCTCTCTTAACTGTGCTGTCTTTCCCTCCTTCCAAACTGTCATCTCTGATGGATTTATGGAGAGATATAGGCATATTTTTTGTTTTGTTCTCTCTCTTCTTGTGCTTCACCTTGCTTTTCTATGTTCAGTGTTCACCAAAGAGATGCCCCTTCCTGGCACTGTCTCATTGAACCCCTAAGTCTCATACATGGATGGTGACAGTTCAGAGCCTGATATTTCTATATGGGACTGGGATTATTCATAGTAAAGGATACGCCACTTCCATGCTGGAAAGCTACAGCACCCTATTCATGCCATATCCAGGGTGGGTACACACATGATGCATTTCACTCCAGCCTCTGTGCCAGGCTGATGCCATTACCAGTAAAACTTTTGTAGTAGGAGAGGCTAAATTGCTTGTTAGGCATTGGAAGGAAGAATGGGGTGCAGTTGTTTGGAAGGGGAGGACCATTAGTCAGGGACTGAGAATATGATTTTCCAAAGCCACTTCAGCAGTGACCCAAGCTTAGACTGCTCAAAAGTACCAGTAAACTCAGAAGACAGGTGCTTCTCTGTTGGAGGGATATCACTTTACAAGTAAAGAAATTCACATTAGGAATAGAACTCCCTTTCTTTAAGGGATAGGCATTAGAATGCCGCTAATGGCATTTCAAAAATCAAGCTCTGAAAGGCAGCATGCTCAGATGTCAGACCTGCAGATAAACACACCTACACTGGTCCAGTGCCAGAAACATCCAGCCCACTCTCAGACAGTACCTGAGGTAGCACACAAATATTATATTTGGGCTTCAGAGCAGACTCCTTTTGCATGGACAAAAGAAAAGACTAAAATGCTCCAGACAGCTGCCCCAGGTCTAGTTCAGCTGTCTCCACAGGTGACATCAGATCTAGCCCTGATAAAACAAGGCTCTGCTATCCCTCCCTCCTCCCTGCATAACCTCTACTGCTGTAAAATTCCAAAACCTGGGATTTCCATCACCAAAGTACTGGCCACCATGCCTGAACACTTTTTCCTTGATCTGCTATCTAGTCAGATTCCATTCTTCCCTGAAACAGTTGCTTTTCTTCTCAGTTTCTCCAGAAGTATTGCTGGCACAGCCAAATGAATGGGATCAAGCCAGTAAATACCACATATCTCCCACATAGACCTATCTTTGTGGCTGATGGCACAATGAGATCAATCCTCCCCTCACACACAGTTTTATGTCCCATACCTCGGAAAGACTTTCCTTGGGAGTGGGAGTAGTACTGTTGTCCAAGATTTCAGGACAAAACCTACATTTATTGGAGACTAGGTCCTTAATGACATCATTATATAGTCATATAATACATATATATAGTAATTGTTTTTCTTAATTTAACTGGAGTGGGAAACATCTCTTCTTTTCATAAAAAATTGTACTTGACCAGCTATGTGTTGGTGGGTATGGGAAGAAAGAGGGGGAAATGAATGAATTGCTCCTCATCTCCCCATAATGATTTATTATAATAACATGCAAGGTTGTTTTACTTTAAAGCAAGTCTCTCCCATGATAAAACAAACAAACCAATACCATATTGTTCCTTCTGTTCAAGTCTTTTTACCCCAGTACTCACTTCCTTCCAAACCCTACAGATTCCATGTTCAACTTTAACAGACCTGTGTCTGGTCCCCCAGAACCCTCAGCTGCTGTGCTTGCAACTAACCTTCCACATCACCCCTGCCCCACAGTCACCTCCCCTTCTGCTCCCAGCTGCTATCACTAAAATATTTACCACTTGCTGAAGATGGGGTTGACTTCTAGGAATAGAACAGCACTAAATAAATGATGACAGTGGGAACAGAGATGGACCATTTGCCTGTAAGAAATTTTTATTAGGGAGAGCCTTTTAAAAATGCCTCCTCTATGGCAAATTACCTTTCCCTCTATTAGTCTGTCCACTTATTTTCTGAAACACAATCAGTTTCCCAGACATAATTCATTTATTTATCAATATTTGGGAGCTGAGTAGGGAGCATCAGCACAAAATCTTTTCTGGGTGAAAATAGGCTGTTCTTGGCATGGGAGAGAATAAAACACACACAGGTCAAAGACCGCTACAAACGCAAAACTGCTTCCCAAGTAACGTTTTTTTTCAGGCCATGCCATCTTCACAGACTGGGCAGCACTATGGTTACTACAGAGAGCAAAGCTGGGAAAGCTGGCTTTAGAAACGGATTGTTTGTATCTACACTGCAGACTGCAGCAAAGGTACTTACCCACGAAAGGTAAGTGCCAGAGATTCAGTGATTTGCATAAAGAAACTACACCAACTCTAAACTTAAAACCGACCCACCACTTCAGGATTATAGAGCATATTTCTGTCCTTGGCTAAAGGTTATAGCAAATGCTTTCCAGCTTCAAACTTCCTGGCTGCTGACAGACAACATCCAGCAGCTTACAACTCCCTAACACCAGATGGGAGAGAATTCAGAGCCACCTTCTCCCCAGAGAAGAGTCTGCATGTGCTGTTCCCAGCATGCTGTCAGTGCCAGGCAGCACAGCAGTACTGGAGCTGTGCACAGATCCCTGCAGACCACACACACACACACACTAGAGACCCACACGCAGTCAGCTCAGCCCTGCCATCTCGCACCCGAAGGACTCAAAGAGCTTTGAGTGCCAAAACAAAAAGGTCAGGCAGTTTAGAGGCAAAATACATGAACAGACTCTTCCCCTTTCATGAAACTATCATAATTATTCAGAGGAGGCAGCTAGTCTCTATTACCACCCTGAAGTGCACATAGCACAGATAAAGAAGAGAGCACAGTGGGGTGCCACATGTGTAAAGCAGACTCGGAGCAGCAGGGAAGCTATGCCCCAAGTTTTACCCCGAGCCTCTGCCTGGCTGGCTGCACTTGAAGAGCTAAGCACTCAGTCTCTTAACTTATCCCAGAACACTTCAGCTTTGTGTTTCACCCGAGCATCCCTCAGCAGCTGTGGCTTACCTCCTGGACCATTTGGCTGACTGCCTCCCAAAGGGTCTCTTCCAGAGCACACCGTACAGCTGCACTTTGGTGCTGATGTCCAGAGCATCCGAATCTGCCTGCTCCATGGACGGAGAAGGGGAGACAGAACTGGATTTTGAAGCAAACATTATAGATGGATCTGGTTCTAACTCACCCCCTCTGCGTGGCAGCTCAGGGAATCCGATTAAATGCAATGAACCAGCAGGATGTAACCAGCCCAGCAGACAGAGAGACTGGGCTTTGGTTTGAATCAATAACTTGACTGCTCAGCACTCAGTCAGTAATTCTCCCCCTGATGCACAGATGATGGGAGTTTTCTCATTGCGTATTACTTCCTGATGCATTGCAAACAGCACACATCCCAGCCCAAGGGAAAAAGAAGAGTGAAGAGAGTCAGACATCAGAAACACAGAGAGGCAGAAAGAGCTCGTCAGAAAGAAAGCTCCAGCAATAACATAAGCCAAAATACCTCTGCACCAGAGCCAGCTTGGAAGGTTATTTCACTCGACACTGCAGCACTCCATGCAGAAATTAGGGCAAGACGGATGTTTTACTGACAGGCATCTCTGACACATATTCCCAAAATCTTGCACTTGGAGACAGGTTCTTCTCATTTGTCCTGAGGAAAATTGGGGCAGAGTGAGTGGGAGCCAGCAAGTTCAGTCAGACTCCCTCTGTCATCGGGGAGGGTGAGGGGGCCTTGCTGTGCCAGCCTGGCACTGCCCACCTGGGGACAGTTCACGTGGCTGCTGGGTTTGGACTGGGCAGTGTCCATACTGCACGCCTTGCTCTGCCTTAAAGGGCCATTGCTGATCAAAGTTAGAGAATAAAATTCTGCCTGCCTTCATACTTTGCTGCATCTTGGAGAGGTGGCAAAAACAGCCTCTGCCCTGCCTCTTAGGTACCAGCTCCTTCTTGCCCAACACAGACACATAGGAATGTGTCACACAGCTCAGATCCATGTTCATCTCCTGCTTAGTGCTCCCACAGCAAGCTTTTTTTATCTGGCTCCCTATGTCCTTGTTTCTCTCTTGAAACCCCTTCTCCCTGTACAGATACACAGTTCTCCAAAAGAACCTGTGTTTTGCAATGCCCACAGGAAAGCAGTTTAGCCTCATATTGTTCTATACTTCATCTTGCCTCGCCCTCCAGGATTAGAATTCAGGGAAGAATCTCAGCTGCTAAACCATCTGTGGTTTTGGGATATCCTATAACCAACACAGACATGTACATGCTGTATGGCATGTATGCTATATATGTTGAGGTATCTGCTCCTGATTTAACCTGTGCCATCCCACATGAATAGATTTTGATGCTGTAGTTGTTGGATGTCAGCCCTTCCCAATGCAGATGTTCAGAAGAAACACAATGTGCAGACACATGGTCCTTTCCCATCCCCAGTCAGAAACCTGGGATGTGCTATAGGCCAGGTCACACCACAGGACATGGGCTCACTTAGCTTTATACAGTCAGAGGCACTTGCAGAGCATCTTAAAGAGAGGAGATGCAGACAGCCTGCCTCAGGCTCACAGCCTGCATTCACTGTTAGAGAAATTAGAGATGCAGTCCCTGATAAAAGTCACAGCTGATCAATAGATGAGTGCCAGCAAACTCCATGATTTGTTACTTCCTCTCACCCTGGCTTTGACCAACCTTTTGGTCCCAGACAGGACAAGCCCTGAGCAGCAGGACATGCCCCATTTCAGAGTCACATTAAGGTAGAGGGTGGAGAAGAGAGTAGCAGATACTGTCTCTATCTCACCTGAGCTCTAACTCTTGAATACAATACTGCATTGCAGAAGAGAAGAGTATTGAATATAATACTGCATCTATTAATGCCATAGATGCCATTCCATACACAGCACCAAGAAGTAAATACTACTCATAACCAGGAGAAGGAAAATTTCCCCTCAAATTATGTTGCACAAAGGGTAAAAATTATTCTGGGCCCTACAGCCTCACTTAACTGTATAAATGTCCAGTGAAAAGCCAAGACCTCCCATGTAATAATCCAGTGCCCCTGCTGTTGTACTGCACCAACAATGCAAAGATCTGACAGCAGCGACCTTGCCATGAGACAGATTTTCACTCTTTACTTATTTTTCATTCTTTCTTATTTTTATCTCATACAGATTAAGAGAGTAAAGAGGTTTCTAGCTCTGAACATCAAAAAGTTTGTTTTTTTTTTTCTTCTGGAGGCCTTTAAGACAAGCAAGGCACTGAGTTACAGCAAGTTCTTTAAAGTCAACAGGCCAGGGGAGGGAAAGAGCAACTTGCTTGTGTCAAGTGACAGGCCAGCCATGCTAGGTGAATTTTCTAACTGTTGGTGTCTGGACACAGTAATTTGTAGTAATAGTGGCTCTTTTAACATTTCCTTTATGTGTGTACTAATCTAATGAAGGGGAAACACACCTGTACATCCTTGAGAGACAGCACTGGACCTTTAATCAGAAAACCTTTCTTTGGAGCAACAGGCTGCACTGGTATGGCAATTATTTTACTAATATGTTGTATTTATTTTTCCTACACATCAAGCCAATAAAATTTTGCTAAAAATAAACATTTGAAGCAGACAGCAGCACAAGCTATACAGAAGTAGCACTTCTTAACAGAAGTCAGGTCCCCTGAGTCAGAAGGGACCTACAAGGAGCATCAACTCCGACTCTTAGCCCTGCACAGGAATTGCCCAAGAATTACCTCATGTGCCTTCATCACAGGCCACTCTCCAGCTCAAAGATGCTCCCTTTCAGTTTAAGGAGACACATAGTAACTTCAGCTGCTGAGGGGGCTTGCGTTTTTTTCTTTTTTTAACGTGGAAAGTTACATCTTCATGTTCTGGGCACCCTGACAATACTGTGTTATGCAGAAAAGAACAAACTGCTTCTTGGGCTGGGGCCAGTACCTTGAGATGGATCAGAGCCGTTGCAGAGTTGGAGAGATTCAGATCTTACCTTCCAGTAAGGCAGATTCCCTTTGCTTTTACAGCTTCTGATAGATTCCATAGCCATTTTTAACCCTGAGAAACATTAGCAATCATGGGAGTTATTAGCAGGTATCCAAATAATGTGCAGAAGTAAAGTCCAGCTCCAGTTTCATTTATGATACATCATTCTTGCAAAGAAAAAATGTCACATGTACTCCCCAAAGTGATGCTCCAGCTTCCTGGGTGCACAGCTGCGTGCAGAGGCTGTTTTAAGTAGAAAAGCAACTACCATCAATTCACCTCTAGTGAGATACACTAACAGAGCATAGAGTTTCTTTTGCACAATGATTAAATTTTCAGTGTCAGATGGAAAGTCAGAGCTGTTCTGCAGAACTCAAAGAAAAGTTACTCAGCAAATGGCATTAAAGTCAAGTGCCCCAGTAGAACCCCATCAGACATCATCCTTAGAGATGTATAACCCCATTTAACATCATCCCTTGGTAAGAATTACATGGTCTCAGTGACCTGTTCCAGCCAAAGCCCTTCACCAGTCCCAGCCCTTAGAATGCACTCAGTTCCATGCTGGATGGCCCAGGAGTCATAACTAATCCAACTATTTGCCATGGATATAGCACCACTTTGAGAGACTTAGAGGAAAACAGAAAATAAGATATCAGTTTACTGAAGCAAAGGGATTTGCTAGCAAGCAGCCAGCCCCATAGCTTGGCTTTTGGGAAGTAGCTTTCTCAGGAACAGACACGATAGTCAATGACTATTTCTCTCAGGACAAAGAAGATAATTTAAATTTTTAAAAATCCTACTAAGATAGCTCTTCTGGAAGAAAACTCATTTACTCTGGTGTTTTGTTTTGTTAAACAAAGATTTCTGCTAAAAAGCCATCATTCAGAATACATCAGAGTGGTCAGCTATCTTTGAAGGCTTCCTCCAGAAGACAGCCCACAGGCCTCCTGCAAGGCATCAGCTTTTCCCCCATCAAGTTTAAATATCACAAAATGATCACAGGGCTGACAAACAGAAAATGCTTGGAGCTTCAGTAGTTAAATAGGCTGCTTATCTGACTGAGGCTGCCCTGTGCAGGGCCAGGAGTTGGAGATGATCATTGTGGGTCTCTTCCAACTCAGAATCTACGCATGTAACTTGATTTCCCTCAGCCACTGCTCCTCCCGTGTGACACTGGTACTAAATCCAGAACATCACAAGAATACATATACCGGGGCAATAGCTTGGGTACCATGGGCAGCCAAAAAAATTCCTGCAAAAGAGAAGGATTTGTTAGCATTTCCTTGGCAGAATAATGGAGGAGGGGAAACGTAGTATCTCTACATATTAAGACAGGCAAACAACCAGAGAACCACTAGCACATTTCAGATCTGACAAAACAGTCCAGCAAGGAGCAAATGAGATCCAGGGCTGCACATTCTGGAAAAACACATTCTAGCTGTTTTAACACCAGTTAGTATATCTGAATTCTCCAAGTTTCTAAAAACAGGTTAGCTGCTGATGTTTCTCAACTGCAAAGGTATCAATATTGATTGCAGTCCACCAATTTCTACCCAGTTTCTTCCCTTTGATCAAAAGAAGGAAATTCATAGGCCTTTTAAACAATAAATACATATCCAGGAAAACAGAACTGGCCAACCCCCGTTTTTATTTAATCTTAAGTTCGTAAAATGCCTCACATATGCACACAGAGACCACAAGTGCTCTTGCATACACATTCAGTTCTTCCTTTACACCTACCATTGCTGTGATCACTGAAGGCAAGGCCTTAAAAATATGGACACTACAATTAGGACTTCATTCAGGACTGGAAACTGCAGGGCCCACACCACCAGTGTTCTTCACACTCTTCCCCTATACACTGTGCAATACCCCTCAGCTCTAGTTGCAGCAGCCACCACTTCAAGTTCCTCCTTCCTGGTCCTGCTCATCCAGCCAGTCTCAGCAAGGTCAGGACTCCTGCTGCAAACATACGCAGGGAAGGCACAAGACACCTCTTGCCTCCTTCCTATCCACATTCTCAAGTGGTTATCTAAGTACAGAGGCACAAAGATCTACTGCTGCCATCTATCATAGCAACAGACCATGACAGCTGTATTACAAACTGTGCAACGATGAGGAGAACCAGCAGCCAAATGAAAAATAAAATGTCTGGCAAGGAAGGGCATCGAGGACTTTGCTCTCTACAACATACAGCAGGCTAAGAGGGCTATCTCCTTTTATTCTCCTGTGAGCCAAGCCACACAGCTTTTGTAGATGAGGCTTCTTTCATAATGCTGAAGTTTAGATTGCAGGGATAAACATGGAAATGCTCCCAGATCCACTGCCTACTCATCCACTTGTACTCAGTCATCTTCACTTGTAGTGTCTGCACAGAGGAGATACCAGAGGTACAAAGTTTTGTTCAAGATCAATCACCTGTCAGTTTCTCTGTCAAAAAGAGACAACAGAACATGGGAAACCCATTGCAGTCTTAAAACTCGACTCCTTCTACAGATAGCATCACCCTCTGAGGGCACAAAACACTTGAGTAAGAGGTGCAACAGTAAGACTCACCCAGACTACTAGTAAGGCTTGTAAGCAGGGCTTTTAGCAGGTCTCTTCAACCCTGCGTAACCAGGCATAGCTCACTGAAAGTGTTCCTTCAGACAGCAGAAGCCCATTAACCTCCACAGACTCCAACATAACTATAATCATAGATTATCAGTTAACTACTACTTCAGATACTGGCTGGGCACACAGATGCACAATAACCATTTTCCCCCTAATAATATCATTCTGCTTTTAAATTTTCCAAATACTATGCAGCTTTGGTGTCAGTCAGCATGATACAGCTTAATTTTTATTAGGTCTACAAGTTCTTCTGAACGAGGCAATTTTCTTTAACCCCCATCCACAATAACAGTTTGTTAATCTCTCAAAATGACAGACAAGGGGGAGAAGTGCTGTGATAAGGAGGGTGGAATGTTGTGCAATTCTGCCTGCAGGGATACTTGGATAAGGTTTGCATATATCAGTAGAAGAATGGCTTAATTTGTCAGCTGGAACAATAGATGACAGCTCATCATCTTGGTGCTGTGCTCATCCCTAATGAGTCGCTCATAAAAATGCTGATGTACATTTTTATTTCCTTAACAAATGAAGGAACACTCTACAGCAATCACCAGGAAGTCTGCAACACCACAGCTCCTAAATTTAAGTTTGTAATATAAACGCACCCAAAGCACTTCCTCACATCTCCAAAAGGATTTACCACAGACTACAGTGATTAAATCTCCAGTTACAGAGGTGACATGTTTACTAAATACACTAAAAGATGCTAATATACTGCATAATGCTTTACCATTAAAACTGAGTTTTACTTGCCGAAAAAAAAGTCTGCCTGGAAAAAAGAGTGGCTTTCCCTTCTTACTGCTTTACATTTGCTTGTACCAGCTTTAACAGCACCTCTGTCCTTTGCTTCAGTTCTCCTACTGACTTTACATTAATCATATTCTCTTGTGCTTAAGCCAGTATAAAGAGATTACACTTTCTTAAAGACACAAGTCCTATGAACTACCAGAAAATCAAATGCAAGCAACAAGCTGAGAGGATTGCTTATTGCTGGAGTGAAAGAGCTAAAACACTGTGTGACAGGATCTTAGGTAAGTCTGTAGACAGCAAGCTCAGCAGAAAAACATAAATCAATTTTTTTAATGAATTGCTTATGAATCATCTCCATCAAGTGCTATCTCTTAAATGGATGCATGAAGTTTGTAAATGCATACATCACTCATCTTTTCTGAAAATGCAGGTCTAAACCCCAGTCCTGCTCAGAGGGCAGCTGGGAAGTATGGAGAATATCTGTACACTATGTCAACTCAGCAGCTCTAAGAGGAATCCCATCAATGTATACAAATACTTGAGAGAAGGATGCAAAGGGGATGGAGCCAGACTTAGTGCCAGATTTTTGGTTTGGGACTGACAAGAGATTGAGAGCAAAGATGGAAAAAAGATTATTTCCTTTAGTTCCAAAGGATCCTCAAGCCTTTCAACAGTGGTCTAGAGCAACCTTAAGCCCATCATCTCCCTGTTACTCTCCAAAGGCCCCAGCCTTGTAAGCTCCAGAGATTTCCCTAGGGGTGCAGGAGGAGATAGCTTCAGGGCAATGCCAGCCCCTAAACACTCTGTGACAGACACAGTTGCCAAATGCCCCGCTAAAGCCGAGCTGTCACATCATCTCTGCATTAATACCTCTGAACACATTCAGAGCCATATCCAAATCCACCTGCTGCGCTGCCTCCCAACATGCAGCTCACATTCCAGGTTTGCAAGAGGTGCTCAGACATCATAGAGAAAAGCAGCAAACACACTCCCACAAAAATAAAACATTGTCTGCAATGCTTGCATCCCATTTAAGACTGTCATTTCTTTCCACTAGAGCTGTCAGAAAACCCCAGGCAGTAAATGACAAACCAACTCCAAAGCACTGCACCTAGTAAAAATTTAATATAATAAAACAAATTGAAAACGGCAATATTATTTTAACCATTCACAATTAAAGTGGAAAAATTATAAGGCAGCCATTCATGGAATGATTTTGTGTACAAATGGTTTGGAAAAAAGACATTAAAATTACAGTTCCATACATGGAGAAACATGTAAGGTAAACAGCAATGACCACAAAATGTTTTTCCCTGGAAAGCCAAGGCTGCTAAGAGATATAACAGTAAAGAAAACAAATATTTTAAAAGAAGTTTGATGTGACCAGGAATCTGAAATTTGTGGTAAAGAATCCAATATTCATCATAAACTCTCTCACCATACTGCAATCACTCCTCCTCCTTCCATCCTCAATAGAATACAAGTACACATTCCTTCTCTATTTCCCAAGGGCCAGCACAGAACAGGAAGGGAGCAGCAAGAGCATTTATTCCACAACATCTCTCTCTTTTCTGCAATCAGCTGATACCACATGGACACACCTGCTACTGTCAAAAGCTCCTTGAAGGCTCTGAATGTTCCTGAATAAACACAGTGATTTTCCTGGGCCTCTTGGGTAAGATTAGCCTTTTATATAATCCACCTGGAAATAGTTCTTTGGAGTCAGGAGTGGGTTTCTGTGTTTAACACCCAGCCATCTGACAAGCCAAAACAACCAAAAAATTCTGTCTTGGCGCAACAGCTCTGCCATCCTTACTTAAATTAATGTCAGTGCAGCTTCTGCTTCTGCCATTGAGTGCTGAAAAAGAAATATTTCCCTTCTTTATATAAGGAACAATAAAAGCATTAGAACAGTAGGGGAAGTACCTGAAGACATGAGGATCAACAGTAACAGCTTTAGTCCAATTCCTATTGCCAATTAGGAAATCATTAACTGAAAAGAAACAGGTGATGAGAATATTATGGATTTCCTAGAAGGACTTACAGAAGGAAAGTGGGACATGGCTGGCACTTGGTTTAAGCATTTACCTGCTAGACCTACTGCCACCTACCTCACAGAAGAAAAAACAGGCAGAGAGGCTATTACAAAGAGAGTAAGAGGAATTTGTTTGCACCAAGGTCTCCAAAGGAGTAGAAAATGATACCAGATGGCCTTGACTACATGCAATGCTTGGATTACTGTGACAGATGGGGAGATAGGTAGAAAAAGAGGGCTATAATAAAATGGGCCATTTAATTTAACTTATTAAAATACTCTGCGTCGAGAAAATAATCCTCAGTTTGGTACTAAAAATTTGGAAAGGATTGATAATATAAAATTTTACATTTTCCATATCAACATAACCAAAAGCTTCTCCAGTCACTGCGGTTTCAATTACAGAATTGAAAATAATAATTCAGTGATAACAGACAGCCAAAACAACATGCGGTTGCTAATTCTAAATAGATAGAAGAAAAAAACAAAAATCACGGAAGTCTTCTGTCACTTAACCAAATGCTGAAATGTATGGTTTTAGAATTTCAGTGCCAATTTTGAGTTGCCAATGTTTCCATTCAAATTCCTTCACCTGCTGCTGTAACTTGGCCCCTATACTTCATGAATCATTAAACTGAGCACTACTATTTCTGATGGCTGCCCCAGAAACTGGAAACATGATGTGAAGGACAGGAAAGTGGAAAGATGACAAGACCCCTCAGCAGGGGCACCTGTGAGTAATACGCCAGAGGTTATGTCAGCAGTGAAAAGCCGGCTGCCACACCCTCACCAATACACACTGATCCATGTAAAAAGGTCCTATCCGCACGTTTCAGCCCGGGAACAAAAGGCATGGAGCGGGAAGCCTCTGTCAACCACTGCTATTGTTACACACAAAGTGAGGCTGTAGAGAAGGGGAATTCGGGCAGGGTGTCAACTCCCAGGGTGGGGTGCACATGCAAGTGACAGGGCAGAGGTTCAAGAATAAAAACTTACTGCTTTATGAAATGCAAACACTAGTGCTGCACTAAGCTATCTCCTGCTCTTGAAAACCCTCCAGCTTTAGGAAATGGTTATGTGGAAAGATTAAACATGGTAAAATAGTGAGATTATTAAGGAAGAAGGTAATTAGGGGGAATCAGGAAGAACAGAACTCTGGAGTAAACATCCTTGTGTATCATTTGCATGTGTTAGGAACCTGTCCTGCTGAACTTTTTAAACCAGTAACTTACCAGCTGCATTACATATGTTGTAAAAATCCCAAAACCAAAACAGACAAAAAAACATGAAAAACACACAGAAGAGGATCCCATCCAAATCACTAATTTTGCAGAGGCTTTTCAGAGCACAACATTGAAAGTCTAATAGAAAAAAAAAAATGCTTGTTTAGGCCTGAAGCACTAATTCTATCTGAAAATACTGTCTTATGGGAAAACATGACTTCTAATAATTTTGCACTGACCTTACATAGTAAAACACACAAATGAACAAGCACTCCTGGGAATCAATACTAGGTTCAATCCTGGGATACATCAGTACTGTTACAGAGCCAACAGACAAAGCCATCACTAGTCCAAGAGCCAGGCCATACCCATTACTCTCTGAACTAAAAGACAAACAGGACAACAACAAAAATGTAAAGAAGTTATGAGGCACAATGGGCTCTGCAGTTTAAGTAATAAATGGCAAGACAGTCACAGTCATTCATATGGAAACAAGAAGCACTTCAGTTAAGAAGATATTTCTTCAAGATCCTTTTTTAAAAAAACAAGGAAAAGAAAAAAGAAAAATAGATTTGGCAATGTTATCTTCAAAAAGTGCAGACAAAGTATAGCTTAAAAGGGGACCAGCATTAAAAAGTTTTCCCCTAAAGAAAGAATTTTATGCTGATTCTGTGCATGTCAAGCATTCCTGACTTTTCAATGCACATTAGAGTATAACATGTTTTGCATAAGGGAAATGGTGCCTGGTAAGACAAAGCTGTGCCTTGAAAATGGAGGGATCTTGTACCACTCCTCTGTTGTGAGAGACATCAGCAACTGGCAGAAACTGCTCCAGCAGATTCACCAAAACTAATGCTTATGAGTAGGAGGCAAATGAACAATTCCCAAAGGAAAAGCAAAATGTCTAACAGGTCCACTGGGAACCCAGCAGATTAGTTTTTGGTGGGTTTGAGTTTTTGTTGTTCAGAAATCCTTTAGAAACACTTTGTATTCTATCTGCAGCATAAATATTTAACTAAACATCTTGTTTTGTTAGCCGTAATACCTTTATTTCGTGAAAAACCCACACAGCCCCCCACGGATTTCAGCAGTTCAGGTTTTTGAAAATGAGCTAGTAAAGTTCTCTGGTCCCTCAACAGCTGTCTCCATCAGATTTCCACCCATCACAGCCCAGAACAGCTCTATTTCAAAGGGCACTATGGGTATCTCTCTCAACAGAAGCATTAGTGTATCCCAGTAGCCTATATAATTCCTGCTGATATTTTCGGTGCTTAACACTTGACTGACTTGGCAGAAGACTATCTCTCAAGAAACAGTGCCTTTTAGAATTTATTAGCAATTGAATAAAAATCAAAACACTATTCTTCTTGCTTCTGTCCTTTGTCTTAAACGATGGAATAGTGCAAATGAGTTTTGCAGTGTTTCTTAACCAGCTGATTTCTTCCTCTAATCCTACACATTGTCTACATAGTTTCTTTCCTATCAAGTGACACCTCTGTGACAGCAGCAGTGTTATACAGAGCTCCCAGTGCAGCCCATTTCTGCAATACAGTTAGTGACAAGCATCACAAGGGCCAGTCCCAATGCCAGGACAACGCAGAACCGACAGGGGAGAGCCCCCTTCTTCATTAGTGAGACTTGAACCTCTCACAACGCAGCCATCCTTGGGTTTTGCTCTCAGCTGTGAAAGCTGAACTGCAGGATACTTTGGTGATTGCAATTTTGTGAGGAGTCGCTATGTTCTTCCCTGCTCACCTTTCTTAAACTTCAAGTTCCATCCTCCCTGAGAATAGGGCCAGAAGTAACAATTAAATTAGCAAATGTCTTCAGAAAAGAAAATTATATAGAATTTGCGTCCGGCTGCCAAAGTACATTTTGCTACACTAAAAACTTTCCCAGTATTCCTCATTTTGCAATCAAGATTCCCTCTGAACTCCATAAAGTGGATGGGATGAATGATGGGGAAAAGAATGATAAAGGGAGCAGCAGACATTTACTGCTCATGTCTTATCAAAGGAGGAGAACATTGAAATTTGAGCGTTTAGTGATGGTGTCCAATGGACAAAACTAGAGGAATAAGGCATCCTAATACTAGGGCTGCCACCTCCAGACGACTGAGTCCTTTTCCTCCAGTTGATTCAGGTTTGTGGCTATGAGCAATTCCTCCTACTTCTGGGAGAACATGAACTGTGGCAACATAAAGGAAAGTCCCAGCAGAAAACAGCATAGCAACTCCAGTGGCATTGACTTCTGAAAGGGCTTCTTTGCTGCTCTGAAACACAAAGAGCAGAAAAAGTGAGAATAAGCAGAAGTTCTTCAATCAGTAATAAAAAAAATAGAAATCTCCCAGTATCCAGGAACAGTAGGTTCTCTGTCAAGTCTTGTCTCACAATGACAATGGTTTAGTGTGATTTTTTTTTTGTGTCTTGCACCTTACTTGTAGTAACTGGCACCCTGAAGTTCTGGGGGAGCAGAAAGACACCCCTCCTGCTAGTTACTTCACTTTGGACTTACAAAAGAAAAAACCCTTACAAAAGAACCCTTAGAAAATGAAGAAAGTCACAGTCTGCATCTTGTTCAATCAGCTCACAGCGAATATAGCAAACAGGTTTTGAAAAAAAGAAAATTCATATTGCAAAGCCACAGATTTTAGGGAAGATCCTCAAGGTTGACTTTTTCCTCCCTTTTTCTAAACAAGGGGTTCAAATA